TTGGTTTTTCACCCAATGAAATATTTACTAAGAAGTTTTTCAACAACTCAGCCTAAGAACCAGCCAACTCCAATGCAATAAACTCATAATCCCTCGAGGATTTTGTTAGTATAGTTTGTTTAGTTGACTTCCATGTTACCGAACCACCACTAAGATTAAAAATATAGCCACTAGGGGATTTTGTCTCATATGAGTCTGCAGCCCAACTAGCATCACTGTATCCTTCTAATATAGTGAGAAATCCACTACATAGTATACCATAGTTCATAGTACCCCTCAAGTAACTCAATACCCTTAGCAGAGCCTCCCAATGCTTACTACTTGGGCAATGAGTGCATCTGCTCAACCTATACACAGCATAAGCTATGTCCGGCCTTGTATAGTTTATTAAATGCAACAGACTCCTAATAATCTGTGCATATCTAGATTAAGCAACTAGATCTCCTTCATGTTTTGTTAAATGCATATTAGAATCATAAGGAGTGCTCACAGGAGGAACATCATAGTGTTGAAACTTTCTCAAGATTTTCTCATCATAGTGTTCTTGAGAAAGTAGGATGCCATGTTCATTTCTTATGATTTTAATGCCCAATATAACCTTTGCTTCACCCTGATCTTTAATGTCAAAATTTGAAGCAAGAAAACATTTTATCTCACACAAAACATTCATGCTAGTACTAAAAATAAGCATGTCATCCATATATAAGCAAATAATCATACAATCACTATTTACAAGTTTTGTATAGACACAAAATTCTACCTCAACAGTAGAGAAGCCACCACTCAACAAAACTTGGTCTAGCTTTTCATGACATTGTTTAGGTGCTTGTTTCAAACCATACAAAGACTTAACAAGTTTGGAAACTTTGTTTTCTTGTCCAAGAACTATACACCCTTTAGGTTGGGTCATATAAATTTCTTCTTCTAGATCACCATTTAAAAAGGCTATTTTAACATCCATTTGGTGAAGAAAAAGCTTATGTATTGAAGCTAAAGCAATCACGATTCTCACAAAAGAAATCCTAGTCACGGGAGAAAAGGTATCGAAATAGTCAACGTTTTCTTTTTGAGTAAAACCTTTGGCTACCAATCTAGCCTTATGTTTATCAATTGATCCATCTAGAAAATATTTTTTCCTAAAAACCCATTTCTACCCAATAAGTTTTGCTCTTGGGGGTAAGTCAACGAAAACCCATGTTTTATTTTGATTTAAAGAATCTATTTTAACTTTAATAGCTTCTTTCCAAAACTGAGAATCTAGAGAAGAAATTGCTTCATAAAAATTTTTTGGTTTACCTTGTATTATATAGGTATAAAAATCATCTCCAAAAGAGGTTTCTTTTCTTTGCCTTTTACTTCTTCTTAAATTCTCACTCAAACCATCATTTGAAATTTTTTCAAAGGAAGAATTTTCAATTCTTTTAGAAACACGCTCAACTTTCAAAGGAAATATATTCTCAAAAAATTGTGCTTCTTTTGTTTCAACAATTGTATTGTGATCCAAAAAATAGCTTTTCAAAACCAAAAAATGATAAGCAGCACTTTGTTGAGTATAACCAATAAACATGCAATCAGAAGTTTTTGAACCTATTTTCCTCTTTTTAGAATCAGGCAATAAGACTTTTGCAAGACATCCCCACAATTTTAAGTATTTAAGATTAGGCACAAATTCTTTCAATAACTTATAGGGTGTCTTTTTAGTTTTCTTACAAGGTATTCTGTTTTGCAAAAAACAAGCAGACAACAAAGCCTCTCCCCACAAGTTATTAGGTGCAGCAGAACTCACGAGCATAGCATTTATCATTTCTTTTAAAGTTATATTTTTCCTTTCTGCAACACCATTAGACTCAGGTGAATAAGGAGGAGTTACTTCATGAATTATTTCCTCTTTTTGTCACAAAACTCATTTAATGCTAAATATTCCCCTCCTCTATCTAATTTAACCCTTTTAATTCTTTTATTAAGTTGATTTTCTACTTCTACTTTATACACAAAAAAAACTTTTCAAATGCTTCATCTTTATTCCTTAACAAATATACCTTAGTATATCTAGAAAAATCATCTATAAAGGTAATATAGTATCTTTTACCTCCTCTAGTTTCAACTTGTTTTAAATCTCCTAAATCAGTGTGAATTAAGGACAGTAGTTCAGTTTCTCTTTGTGTGGAAAAATGTGCCTTCTTGGTTAATTTAGTCTCCGCACATACTTCACATTTGTTTTTAGTATCATTTTTCAATTCAGAAATCAGACCAAGGTTCTGTAATCTTTTAATATACGATTTGTTAACATGTCCTAATCTAGTATGCCACAAATCAAGAGAGTTAATTAAGTAAGCAAAAGAAGATGCATTTTCATTAATTTCAGTAATATTTAAAACAAAAAGATCCTGATTACAATGTCCTTTCCCAATGAGAACATTATTCTTAGTCATGACAACTTTGTCAAACTCAAAGGACATTCTAACCCCAGCTTTCCCAAGCAGCACCACAGAGACTAACTTTGCTACATTTGGGACAGAAAGCACATCATTCGGTGCCAGGGTTTTTCTTGATGTGAGTTTTAGTACTACTTTTTCTTTTCCCTGAACCTTGGCAGTACAGGAGTTAGCAAGGTAGACATGGTCTTCCCCTTTTTTAAAGGATGTAAACATCTCTTTATTTTCACATATGTGCTTAGTGGCTCCTAAATCCACTACTTATTTCTTCACATCAGTCACAATAAGGGCTTGAGAGACAACTGCAGCTATGACTTCATCACTGCCATCATCTCCTTCAACCAAATTCACATTTGGCTTAGGAGGATTATCACCTTTTAGAGTAGCCTTTTTCCTGCATTGCACTGCATAGTGCCCTAACTTTCCACAGACAAAATAATTCCCTTTCTTTTTGAACTTAGGGTTTGAATCCTTGGATTTGTAATCAGATATCTTATTTTTATTATTCTTGTTTTTGGGATCATACCTCTTAGAGTGCGGTTTCGATTCTACTAGGTTTGCTTTGACAGCTATTTCCTTTCCCTTCACAGCTTGTATGGCCTTTCTGTTTGTGTCTTTAATTATTATGTGGGTGATAAGATCTGACAGGGACAACTGCTTCTACTTGTGCTTTAATGGTTGTTTGTAGTCACTCCAAGTTTCTTGCACTTCTCGATCAATGTGCCAGCTATGAACTTATCTGGCAGGTCAATCTTCTTAGCACAAAGCTCCTCCAGCAACTTGTGGTACTTATTGATTTGAAGCTTGATGTCTTTCTCCTCGGTCATCTCCCATTTGTAGAAGTTTCCCACCATAAACTTTTGCTTCCCAGCATCCTCAATAGTGTACTCGAGAATAAGAGATTCCTATATCTTGTGTGCCTCCTTAGAGACACAATACACATTGAACGGATTGTTAGATAAAGTGCTGATAAGAGTGTGTCTGCAAACCTTATTAGCATGCGTCCAAATATCTTTCTAGGCTTGATCAGTATCTGGGGTTGGTTTGGAGTGAGTAAGAGCAGCAACTTCTACACATGTCAAGGATGAAGTAAACTCGCTCTTGCCACCGCCTGAAGTTCCTTCCATCAAATGTCTTTATTTTTTAAGTGTTAGGGAACAACCTAAGAATAGGAACTGCTATTGGAACAACAATGACTGAAGCAGCGTCATGGTCATTCTGAGCAGTAGTGTTGTGGGGCTATTCCATTATGTGAATAACTCTTAAGATTGTTGGCGACAGCACCTGTAGAAAATGATTAGTCTGAGTCACGTGCTAGAAACGTTGTCCTTAAGAGTTATTCCACAACCACCTGTAGATGAGGAAGCTGCACTCCCTTGGATTAAACGGACTCCTCCTGGAAGAACAGGGTAAACAGAACAGTAGAAGGAAAATATAAGCCCATCCAGGTAGAGAAAATTCCAAAGGAGGGAAAGAGGTGCATGAAAGCTCATGTATAGGATGCTTGAACCTCATGCAAACCGTGCCTTATATAGGCCACAGACTCAAGAGACGTTGGGCCCTTAACTAACCACGTCAATGCTGATTAAAGTCTCAGTTACAAACGTTACAACAATAAGGTTGAATAACACATATATTTTGAGCGTCGACAGTGATTAACTCATATGTTTAGCAATTAAAACAATCATTAAGGCATATTGATGGAGCTTAAAAAACCAAACGGTAGGCTTTCAAAATTAAAAAGTAATAAAATCATCATTCTTAGATAAGCTTGAATCATTTCTGGATTTTGCAAAAAGCCTCTGATTAAAAGGTGCCCAATTCACCTTTAACTTGCGCACAAGGGGGAATTGCTAGATTTTCAGCGTGTTTGCCTCCGGTGGCCCATGATCATGTGCGTGAGATCTTTCTTGTCCTCTAGGCCCATTCACTAGCCTAATAACACAAACTAGTATTTATGGACTTGTGCTTTCACTCTCTTAAGCAATGTGGGACTTGTTCTTTTTGACACACCCACACAATTTCTAACAGAATATACTAATAGGAGATTGCTACAAAGTTCCAAATAAGAAACATAATTACTAGTAGGTTCAAGTGATCTACAACAAAGATTAGCAACTTGTAGTGATAAATTTCAAGGTAGTAAATGACTACTGCTTATTTGTTATTGAAAATTTAGTAGTAATTATTTTCTTTTCTTGAAATCTTATTATAATTCTCCCTATATATTATTTCCTTTTTCCTCAGCTTGCAAGGTGTGCCTCTTATGCATAATATGTATGTGTGTATCCCATTGAACCTATTTTTGCGTTCCTCATCTGCCTCATTAGTTGCTCCAATGGGGCCACGGCGTTTACTCCATCTTCTTACTCTATTTTTTTTTTGGCTAATTTTTATATTTTTCTTTTTTAATTTTCTCCTTTATATATCCTAAATCTCGTGATACATCCTGCAAAATAAATAAAAAAATGACATTTGTAGATTTCACAGCAAGATTTATCTTTTTCATAAAAAATCAATTAAATAGTTATGGAATATTCATAAATTTGTTAAAATATATCTCAAACCTACACTCATTTAATAATAAAATATGCATTTTTTACAATATGATTTACAAGTATGCTCACGTAAACAAGATTCTTTACTTACCTTGAATCAGTTAATCTTCAGCCTACTCATAAAGAGCTGGGTTGGATAATCGTGGTGTGGGAATGGCAACTAGAGGCGTTTTCTTCTTTAACACAGTACCAAACTTCTCGGCTATATCCAGCTTTTGGTCTGGAGGCACTTTCCAATCAAATGAATGCATTAACATTGCAAGAGAATACAACAAATTCTTCTCAGCCAGAGGTATTCCTGCACAGATTCTTCGTCCAGACCCCAATGGTAAATACTCGAAGTCATTTCCTCTAAAATCAAGTTTCGAATCTAAGAACCTGGAGGGATCAAAGTGTAAAGCATTATCATAAACAGAAGGGTCCCTGTGTATTGCTCACACGTTCACGAACACAAGAGAGCCATTTGGAATTGCGTAGCCTAGACAGTGAGGAACTGATAGTGGAACAACTGGGTACAACCTCATAGTTTCTTTTTGAACTGCGAGTTCTACAACGTTGTCCTGTTCCACAATACTTTCCAATTCTTGTTGGATTCTCTTCTTCACATCTGGATTGGACATAATTTCAGCCATTGCAAACTCTATTGCGTTAGCTGATGTGTCAGTTCCACCCACCACCATGTCCTTTTCACATATAAGAAGTAATATTTAGCAACAAACTAACCAAATTACCACCTCCAGCTTGCATGGCTATGTATTAATAATTTACTTGCAATATAGATTTTATGTTTATATTATAGGACGTATTTTTTCATGCGTTACACAAGGTTAGGGATAAAACCTACACTACTTAAGACTTAATTATAAATAGTGGGATTGGCTATTAGATTTATATTTTATATTCATTTTAATATTAATGCATTAATATTTTATAATAATATTTAGGCTCAATATTTTAAAACACTCTGAACTTTGTGTTATATGTAAATAACCTATCCAACCTTTGAAACTTTACCACAAACATCTATGAACTTTTACATTTATATTGATAAATCCTATTTGTACTATTTATTTTGTTCATTATTTATATGCAAATGGCTTAAAGTTTAGAGGATTTATTAACATATAACTCAAAGTTTGAGGAAAAAGTATATATACATATAAAAATAAAGTTTAGCAATAAAAAATTAATAGTTTAAGATAATCTTACTTGGTACGGTGGCAATTCTTAAATTTTAAAGGTTACGGTACATGATTTTTAATTCAGAAAATTTTATATAATTTAACATAATATTTATATATTAAAGTTGTTTATATTATATATACATACGTTCCCACTAATACTTGTTTAAAAATACATTTCTCGCTTTAAAATTGTTTAAACAGATATAAGTAATAATACTGCTCCTGGTTCTCAATATAATAACTAATTGGGTTAGATTTAGTCTTAAATTCAAGACCTCAATTCACTGTATCTATCGTCTTTTCGCAAAATATCCATGTTGATTACGAAGAGATTTTATCTAGAGATAATTCTAATCATCCAATGCATATAATTAAAGAGGATAGTTTAGAGAGTTCAACATATATTTGTCACAAAGAATCACCTTAACTAATTTTCTTAATATCCTTAATTAGTTATTTAGCTCTTATATTAAGGACTAAAAGATAGTATTATTTAATTAAATAAGTCATTTCAAATATTCCCCATGTTTAAAGATACGAAAAAGTTGAAAGCTAAAAGAAAAATGTACCATGAGGAGGCCCTTAATGTGTGCCACGGCGAGTGGTAGTTTGGAATTTTCATCGTCCTTCAGCCTCAACAAGAAGTCCAAAAAATCTTTACTATCTTCTTCTTCGTTGCCACTCTCCTTGTTCATCTTTAGTCTCTGCTTAAGTATCTTCTCGAAGATCTGGTCGAACCGCTGAGCCAAAGAAACCATCCGGTTCTCCACTCCCTGCAAGCCAAACTTAACCAACCCAGAAAAGAAGTCAGATGCGTTAGGCTTACCCAGCAGCTCCGTGAAGTCCGCAACCACCTTCCTCAACTCTGCTCCCACGATAGCCCTCTCATCACCGCCTTCTTCCACCGTTCCACCCCATATCATGCTAGTGATCATGTTCAAGACAGTCAAAAACATCTGCTCCCCAGTATTCACTTGAGACCCCACCCGACTGTACAAATAGCCCACCGTTTTCCTCACCTCCTTTCGACTTAGTTTGCGGACGGAATCTAAGGTGTAGTTGCCGAGCATCCACTGCGCAAACTCTTTCCTCAACATTCGTCACTCAGATCCATAAGGGGTCCAAAGTATGTCGCTTGCACCGTAGGTTGCCACCCTGACGGCGGCCGGAACGTCATGGTTGGCGAAAATGACGTCATCGTCTCTGAGCATTTGACGAGCCATTGAAGAGGAGGACACGACGACGCCGCATCTGGGGCCGAGTCGGAGCGAAAGGATGGGACCGTAAGTTTGAGACAGAGAGGTGAAGTGTTTGTGAAGCTTAGGATCGAGGGACAGAAAATTGCCGATCAAGGGGAGGCCTGGTGGACCTGGAGGTGTTTTGCAATGATTGTGTTTGATGAAGTAGACTCATGCATACCAAGAAACTGTGAAAATTCCCCGGAAAGCAAGAAACACAACTGTGAAAGTATCAAACTGGTTTATGGAATCCATTGGATTTTGAATGAAGCCTGGTAGAGATAATATTCTTAATACTTAGATTTCTGAAGCAAGAAGGATACCAAAAGAACTTTTATGGAAGGATAAGCTCTATCTAGCTTCCAACCACCAGTTTATCGTCTCTCATCTAGTCTGCTTTGTTTCACTGTTTGGGAGAGATTCCGTGCACGTGATGCAATTAAAATTCCTTTTTTAAATAATTTAATCAGAATAAATGTATAATGTGTGTGTGTGTGTCTCTAAATACGCGAGTGAAGACATAGTTTCATTTTTGGGAACAGTTTCCTTAAGATATTTGTTTTTTATCTCTAAATTTTATTTGATTTAATGCTTACCATCTATCTTCAAAGTTTTGAAGCTGTTACAGTAATTGGGAAAACTGAATATACTTCATTTCATTAATGAGTAAATCATATTTATACAAAGAAAGAAAATGTACAGCAACTGATAACAACTTGATATTTACAAATAACTGAATTGGTTACAAATAATGTAACAGAAGTGTTAATCCTATCCTTCACACCCCCGCAAGGTTGAGCATGAATGTTTGTCATGCCAAGCTTGGATATAAGCTCATGACAGTGGCTGGGATGAAGTGGTTTGGTGAAGACATATGCTAATTGATCAAAAGACCTAATAGGGAAGAGTTGAATGGTCTTCGATTGAACTTTCTCCCAGACAAGATGACAGTCCAATTCAATGTGCTTCATGCGTTCATGAAATGTGGGGTTGGCAGCGATCTGTAAGGCTGACTGATTGTCACAATACAAAAAAGCAGGATCAAAATGTTTGATGTCAAAATCATTTAACAAGTATAAGAGCCATTGTACTTCACATGTTGTAGAAGCTAGTGCTCAGTATTTTGCTTCTAAGGGGGATCTGGAGACAGTGGCTTGTTTCTTAGCTTTCCAAGAAATGAGGGAGGAACCCAGAAAGATTGCATATCCAGTAACAGACCACTGACTATCAATGCAACTAGCCCAATAAGAATCACTAAAAGCCTTAAGTCTAAGGTTAGAAGTGAAGGACAGAAACAATCCAGCACCAGGAGTAGACTTAATGTACCGAAGGATCCTATGAGCAGCCTGCAAATGAGTGTCTTTAGGTGCTACCATGAATTGACTTAGTTGCTGTGTAGCAAAACTAAGGTTTGGATGAGTTGTGGTGAGGTATTGCAATTTACCAATGAGTTGTTGATAAATTTTAGGATTATCTAACAGAGTTCCTTTGGTGTTGGAGAGTTTAAGATGTGGATCCATTGGGGTAGAGGCAGGTTTGCGGGCTAGATATCCAGTGTCCTCTAATAATTCAAGGGCAAATTTGCATTGCAAGAGAAAAATACCATCCTTTGACCAAGCAAGCTCAAGGCCAAGGAAATACCTAAGATCTCCAAGATCCTTGATGGTAAAGGCCTAATCTAGTTGCTACTTAATGTGAGTTATTTCAACTAAGTCATTGCCAGCAAGAACCAAATCATCAACATAAATAAGAATAACAGTAAAGGATGAAGAAACAGCCTTAAAAAAAAAACAGAGAGAGTGATCACATGCAGACTGTTTGTAACCATATGATAGCAATGCAAAGGATAGTTTGGAATATCATTGGCGACTAGCTTGCTTGAGTCCATAAAGTAATTTTTGTAGTTTACACACTGTGTTAGAATGTGGAGCAGAAAAACCTTTTGGTAATTCCATATAAATTTCTTCTTTAAGGTTACCATGGAGGAAGGCATTATTGACATCAAGTTGATGTAAATGCCAATTTTTGGCAGCAGCAATAGAAAGAAGGAGTTTAAGAGTGGTCATTTTTGTAACAGTGGAAAATGTGTCAAAATAGCCAAGCCCTTCAATTTGAGTGTAATCCTTGGCTACTAACCTAGCCTTGTGTCTTTCAACTTCACTATTGGCTTTTAACTTGGTTTTAAAAACCCATTTACATCCAATAGTCTTCTTACTAGGTGGTAAAGGTGTGATGACCCAAGTTTAGTTATGTTCAAGGACATTTATTTATACAGTCATGGCTTCTCTCCAAATTGAGTGTTTAACAGCTTGATGATAGGTTTTAGGATCAAAAAAGGAAGAGACAGTACAAAGTGTTTATAATCAGGGGAAAGTGAGGAATAAGAAAGAACAAAAGACAAAGGATACCTAGGGATACCTTTTGTTGATGATTGGTCAGTAGAGGAAAGTAGAGCACAGTGATAGTCATGCAGATATGATGGAGGGTTATGTGGTCTAGAGGAACACCAAAGGTGATGTTGTGGAGTAGTAGCAGGAGGTGAAGTAGAGGGAGATATGGAATTGTCAGAAGAGATGATGGGTGAAGTAGGTAGTGATGCTTAAGAGTTTGATAGGGAAGGAGTAGGGGTGATAGGGGAAGTAGGGAAATCATCATCAAGGAAAGATTGGATGAACTGGATGGAGGGTTCAAGAGTTTTAGCAAAAGAATTGGCAAAAGGAAACACAAATTCATGAAATGCAACATCTCTAGAAAGAAAAATTTGATTGGTATGAAGATCTAATAAAATATAGGCTTTGGAACCAGAAGGTATACCTAAGAAAACACACTTTTTGGCTCTAGAAGCAAATTTTGATCAATTATGGGATAAGGTGGAGACAAAGCATAGAGAACCAAACACTTTTAAATCAGAATAAGATGGAGATATGGAATGTAGTTGTTCAAAAGGAGTGGTATTATATATAATAGGAGAGGGTAACCTATTAATGATAAAAACAACATGCATGATTGCAAAAGACCAGTATGAAAAAGGAATGTGAGATTGAAATAAAAGTGCACAAGCAACATTTAAAATGTGTTGGTGCTTTTGTTCCACCAAACCGTTCTATTGAAGTGTCTCAACACAGGAGGTTTGGTGAATGATTCCTTTAGAATCATAAAAGGATTGCATAGCAAATTTAGGACCATTGTCAGGTCTCAAGGTTTTAACAGAAGTGTTAAATTGGTTTTCTATTAAAATCAAAAAAATTTTAAGATGAGTTCTTGTATCAGATTTAGAGTGTAAGAAAAAAAATCCAAGTAAAGCAAGAGAAATCATCAACTATGGTAAGGAAATAACAGTGACCTTGAATAGAAGAAACAGAAAAAGGACCCCATGTGTCACAGTGAATCAGATCAAAGATTTTATTAGATGAACTTGTGCTTACAGGAAATGACAAACGCTTTTGCTTAGTGTGACAACCATTCTTTTAAAACCCATTTAGATCAAAATTTTCAATTTATTCGAAAGATTAATCATGATAGAAAAGAAGCAACCTTAAAATTTTAAGATCACTATCATGGTTAAAAGAAATAAACTTATCATGAGCACTTCGATACTTAACTTGGGCCTTGGACTTCCAAAGTTTAGAAATATCATTAAACCCTTAGTCTAAACAAAACTCATACTTTCAAACGAATGTCACGTGCAAAGTCTTAGAGGCCTCTGGCTTTTTAACAGCCCTCTCATCAATTAGTAGTAATCAAATGTATTAGTTTACAACATCAAAGTAGATGAATCCTATGTGGCAATATATAATAAAATAGCATATAAGACAAAAGAAGGGAGGCTATACAAGAAAAACTTGATAGCTAAGCTTTGCCATCTTCCTGATGGACCAGCCTTAGAGCTATTACTTGAAAATGTTAAACCAAGGGGTTGACAAACATCTCAATAACCAACTTTCCAACTCATTATATATACTAACATGGGCTCGTGAGGTGTCAAGTGGGATAATTATTAATTCTCGAGAAATATAGATATATCCATAGAAATATAATTTCAATCATCTAAACCCTCACTATGGGAGATCAATCAGACATATAGGCCTATTCCTCACTTTGGGGGACGAATAAGAAGCCACAAAGGCTTATCTCTCACCATGGGGGAAGAAGGAAGAAGCTAACCAATATGCACCAATAACGGTCTTACCACATGGTAGGATAGCGTTCAATCCAAAATCCAAATAACAACCAATTATTCACAATATAACAAAAATGTATCAATATTTTCTCAGTATAATCCATAAGATATAAATCATATATCTTTTCTAAACTTCTCAATCATAATTCTAAAAATCTCACAAGACAATTTTCATAGCTCAAAAAGTATAACATATCTACTCGAGTTCTAAATAATAAATCATTATTCTAAAATAACAAAATACTCACAAACAACATCTTAGCACATATAACAAGTGGAAAGTGGTTATCTCTCGTCAAAGTAATAGAAGGATTACCACGAGGTCAATCCTTTGCTCAACCAATAATTAATCTACACAATTAATATAACCACATATTAATATAAATTAATTAATTAATTAATTAAGCTTATATATTAGTTAAATTCCAAATTTAAATTTAATTTTCATTCTAAATTCCCACAACTCTTATAACCCAAAATTAAGTACTTTAGAACTAACTGATAATTTTCTAACAAGCCAAATTATTTATTTACATCCTCCAACTTATTTACTTTGATAAAAAGAATTTTCCAAAATTTCTAAATATGAAATTACTATATTCTAAATTCTAAAAATCTCATTTGAAATTTAAACCTCAAAACCAAACCATCAAAAATTCAATAGTGTCTCAAATATTTATATATATATATATATAATCTAATCAAAATTTTAATGGCATATATATTTTCATAAATAATAAACTTTAACTACAATAATTATTTTAAAACCTCTAGTCACCCAATAAATAAAACTAAACCGATTAAAATCTCAATAATATATCAAACAATCCAAATAAATTATTTAACTTAATTTTAATCAGTATAAATATAATATATCTCATAAATAACATATTTTTAATTAAAAATTAATTTTTAAATACTAAAATCAACAAATGGACAAATCTAAACTGGTAGAAATGATCTACTATAACAGATCTACAATACTGTGGTTAACACTCATCAAAACTAAATACTTGCTCCAAACTCTATACCAAAAATTTTCTCTAAGCAACACAAAATTACTGTTGTTAGACAGACCTGACTGAGTAGAACAACTTTCATAAAGGAAGTTTTGTAATTATAAGTAGTTTTACTTATCAAAATAACGATGAAGAAAGAAACAGGAGGGAGCGAGCGACGATGTAAGC